ACTTGGGAGATATTGTATTATATTATTCACTTTAGAAAGCGATGGCAGCATTACGCGAAGAGCTCGCGAAACACAAAATTGAGCTGCAACGCATATTGGACGAGAGTACGGTGTTGACTGAGAAGATATGTATTGAAAGAATTTGTACCTATGACCGTAGTACATTAATTAGTCTAATGGAAGCTATATGTGTTCAACTTGACGCAGCGCTCGAAAAGCTACGTGTCAAAATGTTGAAAGTGATAGAGATTATTACCGAAATGAAGGAATTGAAAAAAATAACGAACTAATAATTGATTCCTTTTTCTCATTTCAAATTATTGCTTTCAAAAATTTCTTTTGTATGTCATAGAAAGATAATAAAATATCGTTATGAAATATGTCCCTCGCAAACTTTCAAGCAAAAAATTCGAATCCATTGCATTGTTTAGGATGTTAATACGGATATAAAATTTCGATTTCAATATTGAAAAATGTATGCAAATTTGAACAATAATAAATCATTAAAATCTTGTAAGGAGCCGAGTCAACTAATCGAACGTTAATATTGTGGCTAACTGTAGCAATTCCTCAGGAATTTTTCAATAAACTTTAAAAATATCAAATATTCGTCTATTCGTACACTTACCGAATATTCATTGCAATAGTAAAATGAGAGATTAACTAAATGGACTGTTTTTTCGGTATTTCAATTTAATTAGTTTTGATAATATTTTTACACCATTTTTATGGCGTAGAGAGTTACTTGGGAGATATTCAGAGAGAACGACAACATTGATGAGTCATTATTTTTTCGGGAATAAGTCAGAGAGCAGCCTAAGGTCAAGCTTAAGCTGAAACATAGAGCATGGCCTCGTTGACAACATTTGTATAGTAGCCAGAGTGTGGACATTTCTTTGGTCAATGCGACTGCGCAGGATTTGGATGACTGAGTCAAGCTTACATGTATCATTGGATGATCGAGTCCAATTTGCGAATATGCAGTCAAAATTGCATTTATTTCACAGTACTGGATTTGCTATGCTTACAAGGGACAGTTTCATAAAAATATTTTATTATAATTCTAGGATATACAAAAATTTTGAAAGCGCATATTTCATAAGGACATTGTCCTTCTGAGATATACAAAAAAAAACTTTTGAAAACAAGAACTTGAAATAAGGAAAAATAGATCCATTATTGGTACTTTTTCAGCACTTCCTTCATTTCGGTGAGAATCTCTGACATTTTCAACCATGTGGCATGCATCTTTTCAATCATTGCTTCAAATTGATCACATTGAGCTTCCATTTTATCAAAGGTCGTATATAGTTCAAGAAGCATCTCCTCTGTTAGTGTCATACACTCGTATGATGTGCGTTCCGCCTCATCCTCGTATTTCTCGAACTCTTCGCGTAATGCTGCCATCGCTTCCTAAAGTGAATAATACAATATCTCCCAGGTAACTCTTTACAACATAAAAAAGTTATTGCAAAAATATTATTAAAACTAATTA